GAGTCCCATCCCGAAGACACCACCCCCGAAGCCACCCAGGGCGCACTCGCCTCACCCAATGGGCGCACCTGAAATTTTCGACGACTATGAATTCGAAGACGAAGACGAGAGCGACGAAGAGGATTCCGTTGTGGACAACTCACCCTGGGCACCTGCGAACATCAACAAGAAGCCCAATGTACAGGACTTCTTAGCACAAGAAATCAATCAACAAAGAAAGCAGTTTCAATCCGCAAGGTACTTTGATCGCCAAAGACTGACAACAATGCAGAACTTAACCATTAATAAAATCAAGTTTTCTTTTAATTTTGTTTTAAGTTTTTAAAGTAATTCCTAAACAAACCTTTAATCTATTCACTTTATGTTGGATTTTTTTTTACAAATATTAACAATTTTCTACACAAGTTCCAGAAGCCGAAAAAATATTTATTGGTAACATAAAAATCGTGCATATTAATAATATTTGTATGTAATTTTACTTCATTACCTTAAAAGACTACAATACTTAGTTAGTATATATTTAGATCAGATAGTCGAACCGGAACACGAAATTAACCGAAATTTTTAACAGAACCGTAACTCTAACCGGAACGTAAAATAGCTCAATTGAAAAACCGAAACCGGAACAAAATTATAATAACTTTCTTTTATGTATGGTCCATGTAGAAATATCATACTTCTAGATATTTCATTTTAATCACAAAACAGTTGGTATAAAAAATATACCGGTGGATAGAGAGAAGAAGAATTTTTGTCTGAATTCGGTATGAATGTTGGCGATAATATAAGGGTAATATGCTAGACTATAAGATCGTGGGAGGGCTGCATGTAAATGTAATTAAAAATAGTTAGGATAGGGGAACAATCCTGAAATAGAAATAACAACAGTCCACGTTCCTATAAAAGAAACAGATTGAATTTCTAAATAAAGAGCACTTTGCTGTACACGAAATATTTGATTTATATTTCAACAAATAAACCAAGTGCGTCTAAACTGGAATTCAATAAATATGGGCAGTAATAGATCATAAAGACTATAATAAAGTTTTGATTTAAATAAGGCAAATAAAATCCTACCGGCTCTATGTGAATCATACAATGGGATAAGTAGTGTTTGTTAGCACATTAAAGCTAGACGAAGAGACGTAATCAAATGATTCCCATTTGAAACTTCCCTGGAGGGTGGATCTCCAACGAGGCTAAAATCAATACTCTGTAACATAGTTAGCTCTACTAGAATGCGATGGCATTGAAAATCCTGCAGATTGCGCAAGAAGTCTCATCAGAAACCGTCATTTCTCGTTAAAACCGAAACGATTGCGTAATAAGTTTTTCACCGAATCAATAATATTCTATAAAAATGTATAAATATTTTAATGAGCTATCGTAAAAATTTGATGGTTGCAAGCTTTGAGGAAACAAATGGTAAGGGTAGGGAATTAAAGAAAATCCATAATGTAGCTTTGAAACATGCAATCGAACGGAGGGTAAGTGAATTATCCTTGGGAACAGGACCAGTGGCGTAGTCAAATTGGATACAGTTGAAATACAAAACCACCACCGACTTACAGCGCCACAGTTCCCTCCCAGAATAAACAAATTATAAGTAAAGTGATTCCAGCGGTTGTTATTGTGTAACCTAATAGAAATAAATACACGCATTGAACGTATTGTCTTTCCAATATTACTCATTTAATCCCAACTCGCAAGACGACTAACACCTCGTACCTCTTCGATTAAGCTCACTTTGATTTTGAATTTGCCGCCCCTACGTAGCTCCGCTTTACTTGCGTAGTGCACATCCTGCCACAGGACGAATCCTGACCATTCTTGTTCCGGTGCTCATGCCATATAAATCTGTGAAAGTTCTACTAGATCACTCCGGTGAGTAAATTTTCACATATCATCTATAATTTGAGACAGTGTATTTCTATCAAATAGAATCACTCGGCGGCTCAAGTTATGATCGAATAAGCTATGGTAGCTGGTCATAAATTCTTAATCGCACTATCATCCATTATTTACCCGGACAATGAAAATGAGCAAGCCATATTTTTTTTTACTGAAACAAAACACGTTCATAACGAACACATAAAAATAAAAAAAATATGACAACAATAAAATGCAGATTTTTGGAGATACATTTCCAAGCGAGAATTTGTTTCATACGTGCAAAATCGTATTTGCTAATAGCTTTCCTGGAGATTATGCAACGAGCAGTAATAATAAAGACGCTTGCATTTTGTCGTTGAGCTGAGCAAACAAACGGACCGATCCAAATTTTATGTGCTGTTTCTGTCTCTCTTGCAATCCTCCTCACCCACGTTATTTATTTAAAGTATTATGTAACCGTTTGACGCGTTCGCTACGCGTTTCTTTGTTTTTGCAATTAACAGCTGTAGTCCACGAGCCAAAGCTCATTTATTATATAAAATATTAATATTTGTCGTGAGATGTGCGAAAAAGCAGTTTCGGTTAGGGCGTTCAAATGCTCAGCCTATCAATATTCGAAATCTGCTGTAATTAACAGACTTCAGTTATTTATCCATATGTTTCGTTTTTAATTAAAAAAAAAAGCCTTTATCCTATCATAATATTCAAAATGAATTAATTAAATTATTTGATCGAAAATTTATCGCAAAATATGTACACATTACTTTCAAATAAAATATAAATGTTGCTGCAGCTCTTAATAATTTTTCAATTGAAAATCAATTCTACACAATGAGTGAGGCCAATAGACAATCGACCTTAGGTCTTTCAACTGACCAGTATTAGTTTTATACATTTGTAATGCAATATATATATATATATAATATAGTAAAATAATTCCAAATAAAAATTATATACCAAAAAAAAATGTCGATCAATATATTTATGAGAATTTCAATTACGAATGTGCACAACGTTTGTTATCGTGCAAATAAATTGTGTACTAAATCTTAGGTAAACATAGAAAATTAGTTATTTTTCGCGAACTCTCGTTTTTTTTTATGTAAGCGTAGGTGGGCGGGCGGCGGCCTTAATTAAAGGCGAGTTTAATCGAAAATAACTTTGGCAAACTTTCGCGCAATGCCAATAATTAACTCGCTTCATTCGTTTCAAATAAAGAAAATATATATGCAGTAGTTCTTATGACCGACAAAACGCTAATAATGACAAAAAATGACATCTCGATTTGTGTGAAACATCACATAACTTGCAAATTACGAAACGCGCGATGAATTGTTCTATAATATTATGGATTCACTTTACTGTTTTATGACGCTTTGTTATTTTAATGACAGAACAGTCATTAAATCATATTAATGCTTGTCAGAACCTTGGATTTGCATACAATTATACGTGAAAGAATAATTCTGGTATATTTCATTATTTGTTCATCATTATTGAAACTCGGCAATATTGTTTTAGTAATATAATGACTACTCGATTTTATTTATTAGCGATTCGATAAAACCCTTCACATTCTGGTTACGTAAATCATTGATAAAACTATTTACGATTTTGATATTAATGCAGATAAGCTATTAATTTTTAATCTTCCAAATGGAGTTGACTATAATCATCAGTATTATGAAAAAAAAAATTATATAATCTCATAAGATTTAACAATCTCATTATTGAAAATGCAATAAAATCAATACTTGTAATTCTATATTATTCTATTTTCGTTTATTACTTGCAAATTTGAATCTTTTTGATAAAATATACATTTAACTACTTTTACTTAACTTTTATTATTAGTAACATTAGTTTATTTATCTCAGTTATAGTAATCAATACAACCGCATGAAATAAACCAAGTATTTGATCATGGGTATTTCCAATTTATGAATATTATTTTAGAATAATATTTTTTTTAAAACTTATTTTTACTCTTGGAACAAATTTATTATTGTAATTTTTATAATTGTAACAATAGTTTTGTCTATTCATTGATTGCACAATTGCAACAACAAATATTGCAGTGTGTAGGCTTTCTGAATCTGTACGTTTCCCTTTGACTGTGAGTGCGTTTGTCTGGCTTTGTGTGGATGCAAATTGAATTGCTGGAATTGATAATGGTTGTTAAAGTGAAGACGGGTATAGAGGGGAGAAGAGGCGAGCGTTGGAGATAGAGAGGATATGCGTGTGTGTGAACGAATTAATATTTATTGTCTGGAGGAATTTGATTGAAGCGGGAAGAGTCAATTTATCTTCATCATGGTTCTGATCTACTGTGTGGATGTTTGGTTATATGGATGGATGGATGATGCATGTAGATGCAGGAGGGCGCGGCCGCATCCGACTGTCAAATCTAATCGCGTATTTGTTGCTAGGTAGTCCATAATTCATTCGCTGTTTGTAAATTCGATTGAACCGTCTACGCCAAATCGAATTTCAAACAATAAAGGAACGCGCGCGGTATTGCGAATGGATGCTTATGATGAACGCAAACAAAACCGACGGCTAAAAATACATGACCAGCTGATTGACTGGGAAAAGTAATAGGAAAAGAATTATGCACGAAGGTGGTTAAGATAGATCAATACTGCAGTCAGCTGATTCCCAACGAAATAATGCAGCCTTTTCATAATTGTCATCGAAACCTTTTGAATCATTTACATACATTACCGATAGATCGATGGTCCACGGAGCGGATCAGGTGTGTCCCGTCGGCGCGCGTTACGCAACCGCAGGATAGTCCGCATCGGAAATATCGGGAATACCGAAAAAAAAATGAGAATCAAAGAGAACGGGAGAGGCAGGGCTTAGAACAAAAAAAAATAACTTCAGCTCTCTTGTGTATAGATTTTTTGTGGCTGTCCTCTCATTTTTAGTATATTTTTGCGAAAATCCGGTACAATTGTGGGTGGGGGGCTATGGCCGGGGTCAAAAGTTCTAAATAAAAAAAAGAAGAGAGAAGAAACGTTGGCGGAGGAGTAGGTAGGGTAGGTCGGGCCGGCCAACTATTGGTTCGTTCTAATTCTGGGCTAAACTGACGTCACCAAAAGTGGGGTAGTGGGATCACTACAAGCAGCTCTTCTCAGCAGGCTTCTAGCTCATAATCAGTTCGCTCCTCGCAGAGTGTGTTTCTAATCTGATAAGAATAGAACAATCTAAGGTGAGGTTCATTGAGAATTTTCGAATTATTTTTCGCTTTTTTTCTCCATTACTCTCTCTCTCGCAATTTGTTAACTTTAAGTTGTTGTGTGCGCTCATCGTAGCAAACCGTAAGTACCTAGGTCTTTAAACAAAATTAGATCGGTATTATTGTTACTTTATTTATTTTTTTCCTCTCTTGAACTTTGAAGGAGGCGCGCGCGCTTCTTCCAATCCATCCATACAAACATCGACGTAACTAAATCGTTCGTTTGCGTATGTGTGTGTGAATTGAATATGTGCGGCGCGTGTTACGTAATTGCGAATATAAAGGCTTATTATTATTATAGTTTCCTTTTTATCTCTTTTGTGTTTAATTGATGTTGCCTCGGTATTTCGCCGGCTACGTACTTCGCTCATTAATGTCCATTAAGCAAAATTTGCGCGCCAGTTGAAATGGAACTGTACACTCCAGACATGGCAAATTGCTCCAATTGACCATAGCTTTCATTCTTGAATTTCATACAATTTATTATGCATATTTTTTTTTTGTTCATGTTTTTTTTTAAACTTGGATCTTTTGATCATATGCAACCAAGATGACGCGCTTAGATTGAAAAAAAAATTGATTTGTCGTGAACTGGAAGAGTATGTACATTTCAATTGGCACATAACTCGTCGCCGGTGAGAAATCCGATATTCCCGGGAATTTGCAGTGAAACAGAACACGCGCCGTTTCACCTTTTTCCGCTGAATATGGCATTTATGGTGGATGCGCCTGGGGGCGGATGGTGACGCGCGCCGTTTATAGCTGTATCGATCCGCTGGGCTTGCACACCAAGGGGTGGTTGCGACGCCGACGCGGCATTGACAGTGAGCGCTTCAGTTGAGGGTGAATAGACGGGTAGGGTTGTACACGGCCAGAGACTAACGCCTTTTAGAAGGGCGGCGTCCTCGAAACCCCATGTCTAGTTCTAGTACTAACTCCAGCAATTAGTTAGTAGTTGTAGTGTACCGATTTTTCCAGTGTACTAGCCTTGTTTTAGAATAGAATAGAGCCGCACTAAACAAATTTCTATCCAATTAAACCGAAATTATCGTAAATTCACGAATACACGAAAAAAAGATGGGTGGTTGCGCGTCTAAGGAGAACGGGAAAAGCAAAATCAAAGAGGATGATGCGGGGTTTGTACAATACGTGTCGTTTTGATGTTGGTGTCTCTCTATCTCTCTCTCTATCTATCTGCATGGGTCAATATCAACGTACCAAGGGCCTAACCATGGCCTCAACTTTTAAAATAATGCCACGGCCGACCAAAAATTAATTATATTTTTGTTCGTTTATATGTGTACATATCTATTTATTTTTGTGTATTTATAGAGATATTTGTATTTTTGAATCGCTCCGTGCGCGTTGGTAAAATCCTTTATCCCACCTCCTCCATTGTCTTATCTATGGTCTTTCCCCCCTCCAATTAGTGAATTAGTGTATTAAACTCTGAACTAAAAATAAGCTTGTGCATTAGTTTTTGCATCAGGAACTGTCTATATATAAATAAATCGCGGGTAGCTATCAAAGAAACTAAAAATAGCCGTGCCCCAAAGTATAAAAGACTAGGTAAAAGCTAATCCCGCATCATTCGTTTTCAGAAACTCATCCAGCACAATGGTTGACCAAGCTGTTCTCGACAAATTGGAAGCTGGCTTCAAGAAATTGGAAGCCTCCGACTCCAAGTCGCTCTTGAAGAAGTTCCTCACCAGGGAAATCTTCGATAACCTCAAGACCAAGAAGACCTCTTTCGGTTCCACCCTTCTTGATGTTATTCAGTCTGGTAAGTTTGTTGATTTGTACTTTGTGAGCGAGAACATTTGAATCGAATTGGTAATTTACAGGTTTGGAGAACCACGACTCCGGCGTTGGCATCTACGCCCCAGACGCAGAAGCCTACACCGTTTTCGCTGATTTGTTCGACCCAATCATCGAAGACTACCATGGTGGATTCAAGAAGACCGACTCTCACCCAGCCAAGAACTGGGGTGATGTAGCCACCTTCGGCAACTTGGACCCTGCTGGTGAATACGTTGTCTCCACCCGCGTCCGTTGCGGTCGCTCCATGGAGGGATACCCATTCAACCCATGCTTGACCGAGGAGCAATACAAGGAGATGGAACAGAAGGTCTCCACCACCCTCTCTGGACTCGAGGGTGAATTGAAGGGAACTTTCTTCCCATTGACTGGCATGTCCAAGGATGTCCAGCAAAAGTTAATCGATGACCACTTCCTCTTCAAGGAAGGTGATCGTTTCCTTCAAACCGCCAACGCTTGCCGCTTCTGGCCATCCGGACGTGGCATCTTCCACAACGATAACAAGACCTTCTTGGTCTGGTGCAACGAGGAAGATCATCTCCGTCTCATCTCCATGCAAATGGGTGGCGATCTTGGTGAAGTTTACCGTCGTCTCGTCACTGCCGTCAACGACATTGAGAAGCGTGTTCCTTTCTCCCACAACGACAGATTGGGTTTCCTCACTTTCTGCCCAACCAACTTGGGAACCACCGTTCGCGCCTCCGTGCACATCAAGGTCCCCAAGCTTGCCGCCAACAAGGCTAAGCTCGACGAAATCGCCGCCAAATACAACTTGCAAGTCCGTGGAACCCGTGGTGAGCACACCGAAGCCGAAGGTGGTATCTACGATATCTCCAACAAGAGACGTATGGGACTTACTGAATTCGACGCCGTCAAAGAGATGTACGATGGCATTGCTGAACTCATCAAGATGGAGAAGGAAGCCTAAGTATTCAACAACCAATCCAACATTCAACATCTTCAAACAACAACGCAATACCGCACTGTATTCTTTGTAATAGCAAAGACTCAACTGTACCAAAACAAAAAACATGTAATTCATTATCCAAAATTTCAAACATCGTGATCAGATCCGAATTATTAACGATTCGGAATCAGTGATTACTTAGCCAAAGATTGGTGTTTTTGGACTTATTTTTAGTGTATACTCAGCTTATAGTCAGCGTTGTTTTTAAAACTGACACATTACTATAATATAATATTAATTTTAATCTGACAACATACATTGGGTCATCATTTACCATGAGGCGATTCACGAAGTAGATTCGTCTGCAGAATGTTACCATTTCTGGTTGATCGTTTAGTAAATAATAAAGATCCGATGTAAAATATGACTTTTATTCAATACACATACACCAAAAGTCCTTTCCCAGAAAAGAATAACTGCCAAATGCAGTACAATATTTATATCTCCAATCTATTCTTGGAAGCCAGTTTCGACATCAGAATCCTCACTCTCGCCAAAATCAATGTGACTAGAAATCTTTTGCCTGTGATGGATGTCTACAATGCTCAAAAGTTGCGACAGAAATTCCATGCAGCAGGCAGATGTGCCATCTCTCAATTTCCGAAAACCATGACCTTAAACAAGATTCAGCTGAAATTACGTTCATTGAACTTTACTGCAACGAACCTATAGGTACAACAACATCTCTCAAAATAACGTGTTGGTGAGTCATAGCAGCCAACATTCGCTTAAGAAGTTCTTGTTGTAAGTCAGCAGTGATTTGAAGCTTCGAGATAAAAATCAATAGGTATTCGATTAAGTAAGCAGTGCCCTATTAACAAACTAATTAATTGACTTTGTATTCAGTTATGACACCGGACTAACCGCATCGAGTTTAGAGAAGCAAGCTTCAGTATGCGAATAATGGATAACTAGAATCTCTAAATTGTCGATGTCCAGGAGAGGTTTCTTCAGATTCTCCAGCCAATCGTAGAGTAATGCTGCCAACAAAACGATATCATCGGAAAGATCAAGCTTGACCCAACCCAACTGCGACGAATTAATCTCATGTTGAAGTCCTCTGATAACATGGCGAGCCTCGGTACTCAGAACATTAAAATCCATCATAATCAAGGTATCTACAACTTGTCTCACATCTTGAATTTCAATTGGACCATCATGAGCCTTCTCATGCTCAAAATTTTTGTGATTCTCCAACTCTTGAAAACACTTGTTTTCGTACAATATATCTTCATGATGCTCATCATCAATATCTAGAAAAACAATGTTGTTAAATATTTATTAAATTATAATTACTTTTTAGATGCCTGAGAATGTTTCCAACAAGTCGCTTCCATCTGAAGGATTCGGACTGGGAGGTGATGAAACGACACTCATGATGTCTGATCCACTCGAGGATGGAGAAGCTGGGCTTAGCAAGCTCACTGTAATACAACTTATTTGCTAACTGTTAATCCCAAATGATGTTTACTCACGCTCATCCAAGTGACTGCAGATGCTATAAAGACTTTCATGTCTTTGCACATTAACTACCATTTTATCGTATAAGAAGTCTGTCGTATAAGGGACGTTGGATGTGGAGAAATCATCGATCCAGCAACCGCACAATTTAAGTATCCTTTCGCAGATTTTATGTATGATCTATAAAAAAAAGGTATTTACTTATTAATTTAAACGAAAGAAAAACTTTGATCACTTTGGGAATATGCTTGTAGTTCCTTTCCTCGTAACCGTGAAGAGCTACCTTCTGTCTCTTAAGAAACCTCGCCAGGGTGAAGGGTGTCATGGTTTTCTCTTTACCACTATGTTCCCTGCAACAGAAAAAAACGAACGAAGATATCATTTAGTGCACCACCACCATAATCAATGGATGTAATACTTGATGTAGAAGGTCTGCAAATTGGGGAGGATGTAATGTGCGAAGTGCCGGACGCAGGATATCTGACCTCTTGTTTGTACGGACCCAGGCCTTCGTAATCTTACAAATTGTATAGCTGCATTGGCTTGAACCCTCAAGGAGTACACAAGATAACAGGCGATCAACACGCCGGTCCTTCCAAGTCCTTGAAAAGTGAAGACATTTACACGTGAGGAAAAAAAATCGAATCGCATGTCCTACCTGCATGACAATGGATGGCAATTCTACCCTCGGTCACGGCGAAGGCCACGACTTTGACCATGTTTAACAACCCTATCAATGTTGCATCGCCATAGTCTTTCCACGCGAAGTTGTAGTAATAAACTGCAAATTAATTAAACTTTAAAGGTGAAGGTTCGGATCTAATTTAAAGGCACGAGCGTTCAATAGTAAACGCTAACCGATATGAAATCAAGTATCAAATATTCAGAGCGTTTCAAATTTTCGATGAAACGTCATATCAATTATTAGAAGTTCGAAGCAAAACAAAAAAAGTCTAAACTTACACTTTTTGCTGTACATGAATAATTTATTGTGTAAAGGTGATTAAATTAGGGTAATTAAATACATTATTTTGGTACAAATTAATCAGTAGCTATAGTTTGAACATTTATAATTTTGAATTCTACTTGTATAAATTATAAACTCATTGAATGAAAACTGATTTCATTTAGAGGTAAGCAGGTAATAACGTTTGAATATTCAATGATTCTGTTTCTATTCTTATACAAATGACTTAATATCAGGGAATTATAACTGGATATGTTATTATATGTAAACTATCCATTTGTAAACTCAAACCAAAGTGGTGCTTTTGAATAAGTTTCCAATCGATGTAATTGCTTTATCTGTATAAAATGTTTACAAATTATTATTTTTTTATTTCTTAGAAAAAGAAAACGAAATACATTTACTATTGTTTGTTGTTAATTGGATGGGCATTTTTAATTTGCAAATTGAATTAATTACAATTTAATTCGTTAATTCATATGGAACGACTGCACGTGAAAATTGGGATCGATATTATACAGAATTACAAAGCAATCGTTGCTTCCTCCGTGCCATTACTTCTAATTATCTTTACCCAATAAATAACTAAACTAGCACAAACTTTATTCAAAGCCACATACCACCTGTAATTATGTAACCTATTTCAGTATATAGAATATGCTTTTTGGTTATTTATTTTCAATTTACGTTCTTACTTTCATTATTTAAGTATGAATTTATGTGGAAACTAAATGTATGGATTTTCACATTCTTTCATATTATTTGCAATTCATTTGAATATTTTGTACATAAGTTATAAACCAAAAAAAAATCATTAGTTCTACGTAACAAAAAAAAAGTGCAAATCGTCCAAATTAATATATTTCGGTATGCCCTTAGATAGGATATTAATAGAACTATTAATATTAATAGAATATTAATAGTTATAGAACTAAAATTGATTTCATCTTTAATATGAAATTATTTTCTTCAGATCATATACAAGTTTGTTGATATCTAATCTATTGAAAAATAAAGATTAAAATTTACAATTTTGTTGGAAAATGATATTATAAAACGTAGTTTAGTTTAAATCCTTAGGGGAAATCTACCATCGACGAATAAATTCCATTTATATCAATCGATAATTTACTAAATGTCCCAATCGAATAAATTAGAAATAAATATTGGACGAATGAAATATATGACTATTTTCAGCTAATCTATAAATACTATATCGAACACATTTGATTAAAATAATTTTATTGATATTTTTTTCACGAAATATTTTCTATTACAACGAATACAACAATTTTAGAAGGAAATACCTAATTCTAAGAGTATACATTTCAAGGGAAATGTGCACGCTCTTTTCCATCAGTTTTATTATTTAGTTTTTGGCAGTTTTTTCAGCATTTATAAATCTAAATATAGTTATTCCGCTTAATTGGTACAAAACCTAAAGAACGGAAATAAAACTAAGGAAATAAGGTCCGCTTTTTCGGGACAATATTTCATTTAATCGGGACAATAATCCTCGTGACACTGGTCCATGGATGCTGTGCTTGCATATTAATTGTTCCAGAATTTATATAATTTTCTATTATGTAGAACGTGTACAATTTTTTAATACGTATAGTTTTGTGACTTGTTTTATTTTGATCAATTTATAAAATAAAATATTAAAAAACACTAATCCTGTAATTTTTTGTGGAACTTCAGGTAATTGGTCCAGCCGCTTAATAGGGACAAAAAGTACTAAAGTAAATTTTCATTTATTATATTAAATTCTGGGTTTCCTTCAAAATAAATAGCTATAAGATATTTGAGAAATGTTTATAGTTTAAAGCCTAGTATACATTTTCACCGAGAATCATGAATTTCAAGAAATAATTTTAGAAAAAAAATTGCTATGAAAATTATTAATGTAGATTTAACACCTATTACATACAGTGAATTACGTTATGTGTTATTGATCTAATAGTGACAAAAGTTCTTACAGAATTAAATATAAAAATATAATGAGCTATGTCCATCGTTGGAAGTAAAATATTCATGTCTTAAAATAAGGCACGATAATGAAGAAAAAGAGTGGAAAAAACAACAAACACCGGCGAAATATCTATTCTACAAATGACCATCAGCAGTGTTACCAATTTATTATTAAAGTAATGCCCGTTTCCAATGTAAACAACATTATTTCTAAAAATAAGCAGTGTCCAGTCACACGCCTGGATCAATTTATTATACGTCTGCCTCAAAACCACAAAAATCTACACTAGATAATTAATATCAACTTTTATTATTTTGACTTTCTCAATTACCAAATGAATATTTTCATTTTTAATAAAATAAAAATTAATTCTTCTTTTTAACAATTTATTTTGTGACTGATATGTTTATTGCATTTGGTGCATGCGCCAGGCTATTAATTAACAGAAATTTTAATTAATTATATGATTTATTTGTGTGTATTATTTATATTTTTACTTAATCATTTGTGTTTTATGAGATTAGCATGTTCAAAGTGATCACCCGTTAGTGATGCTTAACTTTCGTTATCTATCAAAGGTTTAGAAACTTTCAACGCGTATTTAAAATAATATCCAACAAGATTGATTGTCTCATCAATATATCCATAAATTATGTACAATTTGAATCAATGCCCTTTTACCAAATTAGTGTTATTTATCTAACCAATAATCTATAGAACACGCTATTCCTACATAGATTACATAAAATATAGTAATTTTCTTCGAATTTCTGTTCGTTTCTATAATTTACACTTCGGTGCATATTGGTTTGCATAACATACGTTACACATGTAACCCGCCATCTTCATGTAATTTATAACTAAAAACGCTATTAATAAAAATGAAGCTTTTTTATTAGAAATAGTATTTTCTTAAAACAAAATAAGTAATTTTTAATTTTTACAAATGTAAATAACTTAAATATTGATCAAATTAAATGTGCTCTGTTACTACGAATTGGTGCAGTTGACTTTACAAAACTTACTATTGTTTTCCATGAATATGTTAGGATCGTAGGAGAAACCGGAACTCTCCAAAGGATGACCGCAGCTCGAGTGCTCTTTGGGACATTGCAGATTTATAACAGACTTTATGCCCAAACTGAAAATTATGAAGACATTAAGAAGGTTTATGAATCACCGGTGATCGGTGCTACCTTTGGAACTGCTCAATGATATTCTTCTGAATGATCGTGACTGTGCTTGGTCGTGCCATCGCGAGCACGTGGTCCGTTATCCTTCAAATAAAAGGACGTATAAATTAATCGTTAATGCAGGTGTATTTTTTCTGTATACAAAAAAAAATCTAGGTAAACGAAAGTAAAACGATCACGATCTTGACCGTTTCATTTGCATATATCACATAAACAGGGTTAAAAGAAATAGGGGAAAATACCGCGTCGCACTAAATCAACAATGGTCTATTTATTCCTTCACCTTTGTTATTTTCATAAACCGATACCTATGAATTTCAATTATTTGAATGAAAATTTATTAATTAGTTTCTTATTCAATTTCTTTGAATATTTTATATTATTTATCTATGTTATATCAAAATCTCACCAGTGAGAGTACAAGCCTTGGATGGCCAAGCTGTCCGCGGTCCAGTTATTGGGATTCTCATATTTGCAATGGGATCCACCGCAGAAGACGCTGCATTGGATGCCCTGCGGTGTCAATCTTCGGATGTGATCCGAAAGCTTGTTGTAGTTTGCGGTGACTATCGGACTGTGGTCACCTGTTGGTGTCTTCAGGATTGCCTGTGGTGGTTCCATGGCTGTGGTGAGCACGATACTGCTGCGACGGAACTACCACCTTGCGTGCCATATTCCATGGCTATGGTACAAGCGCATGCCCCAATTATTTATAAACTTCTGCAATCAACGGGAAAAATATACCCTTCGTCTGCAATTTCTTTGACAATGGCACGCCAAAAACATCCGCTAGACGACTTCAAGATCAATCATTCAATACATATTTGTAATTTATTAATGATTACTATTTACAATTCTAATTATAAGCATTACTATTAGTTTTCAAGATTGAATAAAGATTCATATCGTTTAGATTTAATTAAATCAATGTGATTACATAAACGTACATATTATAAGATATTATATACATGTAGTCGATATTATTAGATGTAATAACAATCTTGAACAAAAAATGCAATGTTTTCATATTTTAATGATTTTCTCGGAAACTATAAGAGATAGAATGTATACAAAAGTTGCATATGAACGATGACTATTTAGGAAATATAGCAAGTATTGCTGGCATTGCAAGCATTACTGAAAATTTAAAAAAATGACGCTCAAAAAAGCACATTTTATAGGCTTTCCTATGAAATTTGTATATTTGGGAAATGTAGCGAGTATTCACACATTACTGTAGTTTCATTCTTTTGGCAGTAATTCACGTTCAAAATTGAAATACCGAAATATTAACGATCGAAATAGCAGTGTTTTCACATTTTAGTGATTTTCTCGGAAACTATAATAAATGGAATAGATCCAAAATATGCATATGGAAGCTGAATGTTTGTGGAATGTAGCAAATATTCATTCATTACTGTGGATTTATCAATTCGGTTGTAATTCGCGTTCAAAAAGCAGTATTTTTACATTTTGAAACTATAACAGAATCAAAATAGATACAAAAGATAGTTGAATATTTATGGAATCCAATAGTTTAATTTGGTATATAATTTTTACAAATTGTATAATTTTATAGACTTTTTGAAAAGAAATATTAAAAAAAAACTATATTTGCTCAAGCCTTGTTCTTCGATGGAAAAAATGACATTCTTTTCGAAGGTAAACAAACGCAATGCGACAATTGTATAACCATGTTAACATTTAGCTGCAAGATCATACAAACGATAAAATTCAAAAAAGTATCATATCAATCATAAATTATTTAATCTATTTTGAATACTTTTAAATGCCTTGAAATTTCAGAAAAATAATTTGAATTAGAATTTTTTAAATTTTATAAATATGCTTTTTTTTCTAATAATTTATTATTATTATTATTATTAAAAAGCAAATTTATTTTTATTTACTATTTTTTATTTGCCTAAAGATAAAAGAGCAATTAATTTAATTTTATAAATAATTGAGATAGTTTGTTGATCATACAAATAAGTTATCAATTCTGATACTTTTTTCTGATATGAAATGGACTGGTACATTAAATTTAATGAAAACAATAACAACAACAAAGCGATGTCATGGAAGCTCAATGTTGTTTGCTCGATAAGTGCGGGATAATGTAAATTCACTTATAATGGGAACCGAACTGCGATTGGATGTCGCGATAGCATTGATCGGGAATTGTTCCTTGTTGTTGAAAGGAAGGTTTGATGACACCCTCAAAAGGGTGGAAGGCAGCTGAGCGCGTGCACAATTTATTAGTTAGAAAACAGGACGGACGTTGTTTGCTGATCATGTATGTCGATTAACATATTTGTTTCGCGAACGCCATTCCCCAATTAATACGTGCTTCTCGTTACTTTCGTTAATAACGACTAATTACAGTAATTGCATCATGCAAACTAATTCCGCGAAACCGAGGCCATCGATGGGATTGGTTCGACCATTGCGGTCCCTCCCTTCCATAACTGGTTAGATCATTATCTCGTAATATCTCTAAATGTGCATTCAGAAACTGGTTTCACTGGTGGTTCAAAAATGAAGAAAGTCTACTGCATCATCTATTGGTTGGAAACTTCTTTATTCATTCATGCTCCTCCCATAATCTTCATACTTATTCTCAATGAGCTTTTATTTCTCGGAAATAATAATTACAAATATAAATTATTACAGTTCAAATATAATCTACCAATTATTAATAATTAAAAATCAGAAATAGAAGCTATTAATTTTGTATATACCAGAGATAAAGCCGAAGAGAGCCGTAAACCGTTTTTTTTTATAATTTATTAAGTATTTATTGTATATTTTCGCAAATAAGAACACATAAAAATATAATTATGAAATAATAATAAAAATAAAATATGTCTTTGGTAAAATGTTTACAATAAAATTAGGAAAAAAAAATAAACTAAAATTTTAATAGACACCGCACTTGAGTGGAATCGTGCTTAACGAGCATAATCCGTTACAAAATTTCCAGGTTTTTACTCGTATAATGAAATACTTGTATAGTGAAACAATTTTCCGTTGGTCTCGCTTTTTAATCATTTTGCTTTTCACATCTATGGTTATTTTTATTCTTTCGCTTTTTATTCAGAGTGTTATTAAATTTTTCACAGAAAAATCACAAATACCATATACAAATAATATGTGAACACAAGTTTGGAAAATGATGCAGCAGGCGCAAATTCTGAGACTTCTCCTTTCGTCGTCACTCGTTATACGAAACATCGCTCGTTAAGCGAGTTATTTTTCTAATATATTTTGGAAAATACTCATTAAGTGAGGAGCTCGAAAGGCAAGGTACCACTGTATATTAATAGCTTTTATTTCCGCAGTATAAATTATATTTTTTATGTACATAAATTTGACTAACGAATTACGGAATAAAATTGTCATAAGTCGTTAAGTGAGTCATTTTTCTAATATATTTTGGAAAATGTTCGTTAAGTGAGGTGCACGTAAGGCGAGGTTCCACTGTATATTAATAGCTTGTATTTCTGCAGTATAAAATATATTTTTTATGTACACAAATGTGACTAACGAATTACGGAATAAAATTGTTGTAAGTCGAGAAGTGAGTGTATTTATATTTTAATCTTCATTATTTCTATGAAATATACTAATATAAAGTTTATTTTATCTTTAGCCACTCAAATATTCTTCCTTAAATTAATATACAAGAAAAAATAATTTGCTGACTAATATGAATTAATCAAGTATTGATTTTTTTATTTATTCTAAGTATGAATAAAGTATTTCATTTTGTTTGTATGTTTATTTTATAATAATTATTTTTTTATCTTTCAGGTGTGTAAAGGAAATCTTAACTTATGCTTCTATTATAATATATGAGCAAAACAACTATTTATGTGCTTCCTGACTATACGAATTTCAATCCTATATATTATGGAGTTTGTTTCCTACATAATTTGATCCTATGAACAGGTAAGACCATCATACTTTATAGCTCATGAGATATGTTACAACGTGATGTAGGCAACCAAATTAACACCAATTTAATGTTTTCACTATATTCTATAACATTTAGAATATATAGAAGAAATCTAAAAATAAATTATGGTTATCTTTGGTTAAATTCACGTTATTTATCATTATAATAAATATATTAAAACTTTAACACAATGCATATTTAAAAATCGAATTTACAGGAATATGCAGTGAAACCTCGATTAACGAGCATTTCGCTTAACGAGCAAAATAAATTGTAATAAAAATGACTCGCTTAACGAACGAAATTTTGGGTAACGAGTGACGAGAAGAAGAAAAGTCTACATAATTTTCAAATCTTGTGTACACATATTATGTCTGCATATGAATAAGTACGAATGGTTTGATTCTCTCAGAACAATTTTTATGAGAAAATTCAATTACATTTGAGGAAAACATAAAAGGAATAAATGTGAACATTTGAAACATCTTCAATTAACTTTCGATAACTATTTTCCCAATAGATGCAATATATCCCTTTCAAACAACTGGATTGGTAGTTTTTAAAGAAATGTAAGTTTAAAAGCCTCTCTAACTTTATTAGAAAACGAAAAACTCAAAAAGTTATCTTGTGACAATTCATTGCTATTTTTAAAGACCACTCTTTAATTGACTTCTCTATATCTGTCATATTATAAATGAATATTCAGTTCTGTCCATAAAGCTATTGAAGTTCTATTATAATTTTTAACAACATATCTATGTGAGAAAGGATTTTTAACATACACTTATTTGAAAAATAAATATAGAAACAGCTTAAATGAACCACAACCTGATCTAAAACTGAAATTGTCAGATATTAAGCTAAACTATTAAGATTTGTATCACTAAGAACCAGTTGGTTTCTTGAATTGATTTTGTATTCATTTTTTTTTATAGCTATCATCATAGTCTTATTAATGTTTGTACTTATTTTTACGTTCTTTGTGCAATATGGAATATTCTACCATATTGTATTCTTTTTTATCTATCATTAACGACTACATATGCGGTTCGCCAAATTCTTCTAGGAACCACTGATCTAGTACAGGCGTTATTCTCAGTAAAAGCAATAACATATAGGCAACTCATTATACTACTTTAAATTGCTGTAAATGTGTAAAAAGCGTTATATTTATATCAATAAAAATAAACTCGTCTCAAATTGTTGTCATTAAGTAAACCAATGATTCTCTAAGTGATGGTTGCGAAATATAAATTTTTGGAGGTCGAATGTTTTTCTACGGTAACCGGATAAACCAGAACAGCACAAAATAAATAAACAGATCAATCCAAGATATTTTCTACGGTGACCGGATAAACCAGAACAGTACTAAAAAGAACACGCCAAAGAATAACAAATTGCAAAACAGAACATTGAAAAAATATTAAAGTCACAGAACATTGAAAAAATATAAAGATCAATAAGATTGAGAAATACTGGAGTAAACAACATATTTCAATGGAGATACAAAAAATTCGATGAAAACAACTATAGGCAACCAACATATGTTTTATGTATATTCTTTTAAAAACACTAATAATTAGTCTTGAAGTCGTTACAAACATTTAAAATTTTAAGTTTACATAAATAATATGTGTACAAGGATCGATAATAACATTTTCTAGACATTTTCAGAAATAAGGCCGGAATCGTAATATACAAAATGGCGTATAGGCAATTCTTTAAACTAATATAAATTATTTATTGTTAAACAACATTATTTAACAAAGAAATAAAGCTATTATTATCAGTGCATATTAAACAATATTTCAGAAGAAAAGGCAGATTTAGGTATTAATAATTAAAAAAATATTGAAAGGTCATTGGTCACGAGGCACGATTAATGGATATCAAAATTGTTCATCTTTATCTATGCTGAACTAATCCGGTTGCAATTCAGCCGTTTTACAATGGTTACATAATAATCATTGATAAGAAAGAGGAAAATAGATTATTTATAAAAGCATGGTTTCTATATAAATGTTGAGGTTAATTGTTTAGGAATGTGATTCGTCATTGATGCTTAAGAACGAAATGCAAAAACTATGTTCATATAGTTTACAAATGCAAATGAAATGCATTTTATAAAATGGTTTATTTATTTTGATGCATAAACGTTGAATGCATTTTTTAAGCTGCATTAAATATTTCTAGAAATACAGAATGAAATTGCATTGTTGATAGTAAAACGTGCGTATAGTTCTATCGCGTGTTACGCAATAAAGTATTTAATTATGGTGGCTTTTATTTCTGGATGCAGCATAAGTAATTTATACATTCATAGCAAGATCAAGGTTGCAATGCAGTGACATTGACTGCAATAATATAGTTCAAGTTATATATGGAATTAATTGAAGGAGTAGTAAGTATAAAAAGTTGATATATTATTGTTTACAAATCTGTTTTATTGGCAAAAGTCAAAAATAAGTATTGTATCCTTATGTCATTAAATAAAATATTTAAATCCTGGAATAGACTGTGGAAAAAAGAATGGTGAATTATAAAATTTGTAGAGTTTTATGTGAAATAATGGAATCCCACTACTTCTTCTTTTGGGCCTTCTCAGCAGCTTTTGTGACTTTGCCAGAGCTGGGGTCTTTGAAGTTGACAGCCTTGATGACGCCGACGGCGACGGTTTGCCTCATGTCACGGACAGCGAAACGTCCAAGTGGAGGGAATTCTTGGAAGGACTCAACGCACATGGGCTTGGATGGTACCAAGTTGACGATGGCGGCATCACCAGATTTGATAGACTTGGGGTTGTCCTCGGTGGACTTGCCAGTACGACGGTCGACCTTCTCTTTGATTTCGGCGAACTTGCAGGCGATGTGGGCAGTGTGGCAATCGAGCACCGGGGTGTAACCGTTGGAGATTTGTCCAGGGTGGTTCAAGACAATAACTTGAGCGGTGAAGTCAGCAGCACCCTTGGGTGGGCTGGCCTTGGAGTCACCGGCGACGTAACCACGACGCAATTCCTTGACGGAAACGTTCTTAACGTTGAAACCAACGTTGTCTCCGGGAACGGCCTCTTGGAGGGCTTCGTGATGCATCTCCACGGACTTAACTTCAGTGGTGATGTTGGCTGGAGCGAAAACAACAACCATACCTGGTTTCAAAACACCAGTTTCGACACGACCGACTGGTACTGTTCCAATACCGCCAATTTTGTAGACATCCTATGAAAAAGAAAATAAAGATAATTAGTTATTGTTTTGAATTTAAAAAAATGATAATACTAGAGTATTATTATTTTCAGAAAAGATTAAGCCTATTAAATTGTAATCAATTATATTCATATGATTAATAAATCATCATTTACGAATTGAATTAAAAATGTTGCTAATTTTTATAATTGCTGTAATTACCTGAAGTGGAAGACGAAGAGGTTTCTCAGTTGGGCGAGATGGTGGGAGGATGGCATCCAAAGCGTCAAGAAGGGTCTTGCCGTCAGCCTTGCCTTCCTTGCGTTCAACAGCCCATCCCTTGAACCATGGCATGTTGGAGGAAGCTTCCAACATGTTGTCGCCGTGCCATCCGGAGATTGGGACGAAAGCGACAGCAGCTGGGTTGTAACCGATCTTCTTGATGTAAGAGGAGACTTCCTTCTTGATTTCTTCGAAACGAGCCTCGCTGTAAGAGGGCTCAGTGGAGTCCATCTTGTTGACACCAACAACGAGTTGCTTGACACCAAGGGTGAAGGCGAGAAGAGCATGTTCACGGGTTTGTCCGTTCTTGGAAATACCAGCTTCGAATTCACCAGTACCAGCAGCAACGATCAAGACGGCGCAATCAGCTTGGGATGTTCCAGTGATCATGTTCTTGATGAAATCCCTGTGACCGGGGGCATCGATGATGGTGACATAGTATTTGTTGGACTCGAACTTCCACAAAGCAATATCGATGGTGATACCACGTTCACGTTCGGCCTTCAGTTTGTCCAAAACCCAGGCGTATTTGAAGGAGCCCTTGCCCATTTCTTGGGCCTCCTTTTCGAACTTCTCGATGGTACGCTTGTCGATACCGCCGCATTTGTAGATCAAATGTCCGGTGGTGGTGGACTTGCCAGAATCGACGTGACCAATCACGACGATGTTAATATGAATCTTTTCCTTACCCATTGTTCTAGCTGCACGACAGAAGAAAAAAAAAATTATAAAAAAATATCGTAAAATTTTTGCCGGTCCAATAAGATTTATGAAAATGCTATAAGAGCGTCTAATATGAATGGAAATTGGATTGAAACTGGACCGAGATTGATCAAATTATTAACGTTCAACATATGGCAAAGATGGCGGATTAGTGCGGCTTGTACACGTGGTGGATGTCCATGTTTTATTGAAAATTTAAAGAACGCGATTAATAATCGAATATAAACAACCACGCCGGTAAGCGAGCACCCGAAAAAAAATAACAACATGCCTACTTACAGTTTAAGTTCTAATAAATGCAATAGGACCGGTAAACCGAATCGAAAATCCAAAACTAGTGGATAAACTAAACCAAGACAACCGCACCGGGCGAAGAGCTCGACAGAAAGGAAGAGTCACGAACTACTCGCTAACATATCCACTCCGGGCCGCAACGTCACATCCGGGCAGGCGCAACAAGTGTCTACTCGCCGGATATTCGAGTGGGGGTAAATTCAAAATAGCCCGCGAAACACGAAACTCCAAACTGAGCTCGATTTACACCCCGAAAAAACAAAATATATATGAAACAATCAATTAAAAAACAACTCCTTGCTAAATTTTCACGTTACGCCGTGCAATCTGCTAAAACAAGGGACTTTTTTATTGGTTATTCAGCGTAGTTTGAACTCGTCGGAATTCATTACATTCAGAGAATACAGTTACAGATTCCGTAACGATGTTTATAATTTCCTTCTGCCAGCTAAACAATATATTCGTATAATAAGTTTTATTCATAAATTGCTTCCAATACAAGAAAATTACTTTTTTTCTCTAACTTCAAAAAAGTATATCCAAATCTACATTAGATCATTGTTTAGATCATAGCTAACGTTTTAAAATCCGATTTCGTAACATTACACATTATTAATGTGATTGAATCTGTAAATGAATCATATATTTTTTTCCCTTCAATATATGTCAAAAGTAAATATAAATTTGCTATTTTTGTGAGTTCTTTTCGCCAGAGCACGTTTTCTACAAGCTAAAATAATGGGGACTTTCCATTAAATATATTTAGTGTACATGTATTTTTAGATTGCCGGCATTAAAATCAAAATGTTATTGTTTTATATTAAAATATCATAATGAGACAAGAAATTCCATTTCAATTCTGCTAAGAAATACAAATCGATTATAAATAGGCCACAACGTGGTTTCTCCGAAACGCATACGTTTTGCTACAGTTTTTGATACATTCGCGATTCCCAATTGCAAAACACTGCTCATCGTAATTAACTAATGTTTGTCCTTGGTCTGATGAATTGATTACATTATGCTATTTTTGTAAAATTACTGCAACATTGTAATACACCTCTATCCATAGATCATTGTTGAATCATGCCAATGGTAGGTGTTCAATTTTAGGAATCCATTGAAAATTATCGTTTATGTTCGACCACGTTTTGAGCATCCATCAAATCTTATGTATTAATCTATATGCGATATCATCACTAAACATTATATTGACCACGTTTTCTGATGTAACGGTTTTTATTTAGATAAATATACTTGTTATATAAATAATTAAAATTATGTTCTTATTTCAATAATTTAGAATCGATGTATTTAATCCAGTTACTTCAATGAAACAATATTAAATTAACAATTGATTTTTAACGCTATTTTACAATAAGTATTTATTATTTAACATGTCACTAAAATGTTAACTAAATATAGGAAGGAATAATATTTTGATTTATATATTTTTTTATTATATTTCATGAATAAATCAAAAAACGATCCATTTATTATATTGTTAATTCGAGCAAATTTTTATAATTAGATCATTTGGGCCACGTGTTTCGTGAACGGTTTAACCATAGCTAACATAAAATAAAAGTATTATGTTAATTGAGTTTTAGATTATTGACCTCCGAATATTTTTGCCCGAAATGTATTTATTATTCGGCCATATAACCTTGATTCTATGACATATTTCATGCAGTCTCGACGAAGATGAATTATTGATTATTTTATAGTTAGTATAAGCTACATAAGGGTTTTATGAGAAGTCCAACCGCGTGGTTGCATGATCATTTCACAGATAGGTACCAAAAATAAAACCTGTTTTCCTTTCTGTAATAATATCATAAATATTTAATTAACCTTTAAATATTATTTGTTACAATATTAAAACTTAACAGGAAAAGATGTAAATTAATAAATACTAAAAATTGATATTAAAAGAAATTGTAGGAACGAAACTTTAAAATTAACCATTTTATTATATTAAATAGATAAATTAAATTAACGAAATCATTTTTTTTTTTTTTCAAATGAAAGTTGTAATATTGCTATTAATCACAAAATAACTTCAGAAAACTTATTAACACTAACAAGACATAGAGAAAACTTATTGATTTTTTTTGGAGATAATAAAAATTAAATTAACGAATTCAAACTTTTATTATTCAAATGAAAGCTATAATATTGCTATTGATCACAAAATAATTTCAGAATACTTATTAAAACTAACAAGAAATATAGACAAACAAAATGATGAAAGAGGGGTGAAAACTTAAAAAAAATAACATCTTATTGGTAGATTTTTTGTCATCTTATATAAATATTACTAAACTTCTCGTAAATATAAATAGGTTATAAAATATACAGCTACTGTTTGTAACAAGGAAGGCACTTTAACCTTTACAAGGTTCATTAATTACTTTATAGTTTAGTAATATATGTAAATATGTATATAACAATAATCGATTCTAGGCGGGTTTAAGGCTTCATCGTAAGGCATTCACATTGTCATGTATTCCAAAATACTGTTTTCTGTTCCTTTATTATACTAAAGTGGCATTGTTATTATCAACTTGGTGCTCGTGATTTTGGTACCAAGCATTCATTTCGGCTGAGAAATTTTCAGCTACATTTGGTGTTAACTGACTGAGATCAAGGCTTGTGTTCATCGCCATCGGACTACCGATGGATATGTTGCTATTGCTAAAAGGAGATAGGTTAATACTGTGGTTTCTTTGATATCCTATTGTAAGTATACGTACTTGACAGGACTGAACGGTTGGCACTTCATCGGCTGCAAAGGTTGATAGATACCTTTCTGGATGGAATTATCATCATCAAAGGTCTCGTTGGATTGTGTACTTTGGGGTGAAGGCAAGTTCCTGAAACCGATGCTATGAGATCTAGTACGGTGGCTCTCCTCCTGCGGTGCTTTCTGTGGGGATTTGTTGTATTTCGTTGAGTACTTGTAGAAATCGGCCATCTCGAATGGTTTTGTTTCTTCGTGATATGGCTTCCATTGCGCGTGTTGGACGACAGTCCCGTTTTTCGGTATATTGTTGTTGAAGATCTCCAAATTGGTCTCCAATGGACGGGGGGACGGGTTAGTCTCTGCGGGTATTTCCAGCAGCGGTTTCGGCGTCTGTGGGCTTTGAGCAAGGATGTGCGGTGATGGAGATGGTATCGACGAAGAAAACTCCATATATTTATCTTCTGGAGCAATCGACGGTACAGTTGAATGAGATCTTGTTGGTGTTACATTTACTGGTCCATCCAGGGACGTTTCATACCTACAAATAGTATGTGTATAGTAAATCTGAATAAAAGCTTCTTGCAAATAACAAACTTGAAAAATTGAAGTCATGCAATTGAATATATGAAATATTTGGCACACATAGTTTCGTTAGAATAAATTAACTTTTGAGACCATTAAATTACATCAATTCAAAATTTATAGATCTTGATATAAACCATATTCGACGTTTATAACCTTTCCAATAAGATAATTATAAAACATCCATCTACAATAATCATTTCATTATACTTATACAAGACTGTCATTTAAATTCACAATTATTTCTATGCAATAATAATTGAGTATATTTGAGAAAACATAAAAATATTGAATCTTCTTAAAACCAAGAATACGAAAATGTATAAGCATTGAATATATGTGATATACATATGTGTAACTGTACTTTTTTCCACATATACTACATTTAGAAATCACATCAATAAATCTTGATATTAAATAGAAAACAAAACTGTTTTAAGTGAAGGAAATATCGATTTGAATCAGATTTTAAATATTTTGCGTTTGAATTCACAAATTCGTTATTGGTGATAAATACTAATATATTAGTTCCAAGAAATATTAAAGTAATATTAATAAATAATTAATTATCTTTCAATTCCAAGTAATTTAGAGACTATAGTCCAACACTATACTCGTTTTAATGCATTCATGTTATTTTTCATATGTAAGTTTTGTCCAAGAATTGAAAACTTCAATTAATCCAATTTCATTTGCTAGATGATTACGCATTGAAATATTACCATTCCTTTTGTTTTTGCTTTCGTATATTGTTACTGTGTTCGCTGTAGCTCAGGGATTCGCTCCCACAGGAAGAGTTATCATCGCTAGGACATACAGAATCAATAGTTTGTCCTCCAACGCTACCAAGCGATTGCGTGCGCACCAACTGCCTGTTATTTTGCCTGTGTCGTCCAACGATCTAAAAGTATATACAATTCAATAAAAATATCCATCATTACAATTTGAACTACTTTCGAGTCATTTAAAATAATCGTATCACCAGTCCCATAATAATTATCTGGATACACGATGCAAGGAATATCTTCTTTGCTCAGAATATATTATAAAGAATCATTCCCATTTAAATGTGATTGTATAAGATCAAGCTATTGCATTGTACTATTAAGATCACCTGTTGAGGTTTCCTATGTTCGTGGCTGGGTGGAGCCGAAGCCAAAGTTGCGGATTTCGTTTCAACATTAGGCGAGTTGCGCCGCTGAATATGCTTATTTTTTCTTCTGTCTAAACTTCCAAATCTAAAAATACAGTAATTGAGCATTTCAATTATCTTTGTTTTTTTTTGTCATTTATGTAACCTTTTGTCTTTGGGGCCAACCTCGCTCGTTGATGAATTACACCAGAACATCTCACCGTTCTCGGTCCTTTTCCAATAACCACCTAAACCTGACGACATGCAATCATGCTCGTATTGCTGATGAGGTTGGAGCTGGTGTGGATTTATAGTTCTAGGATCGTATTGCCGGTAATTGGGTTGTTGTACTTGGATGGGATAGAACTTAACACTGGAACTACTGCTGGTGCTAGGACTTGTCTGTCTATGCATATGATTATTGTTATACTTTAATAAGTCTTGCTGATACTGATTTGTAAAGGATTGGGATTGTGGAGATCTTCTGGCTGCATGTGGCAAGGTATGAGACGGATTTATGTATTGGGGAGTGTGTTGTTTATATAAATTATTGCTGGATTGTGTATGGATATTGTACTGATGGTCATTTGGACTCTCGTCCACATAATTCTTGAAACCATTTAAACTCAATCTATGTAAACCACCAGAAAGAGCATCATCGTGCCTGATGTAATGTGCCATGTTTTCGTTCAAAGAAGAACTATCCGAGCCCTTATATATCAATTTCGGATGACTTTGTACGGAGTATCGCAGGTCATTGGTTTCCATGACGACAGGATGCTGCAATGAGCGCAAACTGTGTCTCAGCACAGTCTTCCCAAACGGATTTTCAATACTCATAGAAACAGTATCAGTATCTGAAAAAATCACATAAATCAATATATTTAAATAAAAATAGTTAAAAATTCACCTTGATCTAAGGGCCTAGGCTTTTTCTTTTGCTTGGGTTGATTATTTGGCGAGGGCAATTTGAATTGTGGCTTCTGTATGTGGGTCTTAAGAAATTGCATTTTTTCCTCTAATTCACTATACTTCAGTTTGTGTTGCTGATATTCAGCCATGTGCTTGCGTCTGACAGTCTAAAATAAATAATATTTCAATTTATGCACTTACATACATTATTCAACTAATTTACTTTATTTCCATTATTTTCGTTTGCCAAGCCAAGTGCAGCTTCAGCCATTTTAGCAAAGATCTGCATCTCCAGCTCAATATCATTGATTTCCTGCTCTTTACTGTTGTTATTAATCAGGTTTTGGGGCAGTTGGAAAGCTGTACCTATACGCCTTCGAAATGATGGTGTAGTTTCTCCCGGCTCTAAAGGATACTCTATAGGCATTGAGCCTGTTAGCTCTGCTTCCTAAAATAGACATTACGTTGTTGAGATTGGGCACATATTGCCTTCGCAATACTACAACTTACTTTGATGCATAGTTCTCGGAGCTCCTGGTTATGCTTTGCCAGCTTCTCCTCAATCTGTTTCTTGCGCTCCTGAAGGGTTGCTATTTTAGCACTGTTAGGGTTACTGCTTGCACCCATTTTCAAGCTTTTAGTTTCTTCAGTATTTACACCATCATCTTGCAAAATATAAACAATTAAAGCAAATGTCAGTTTTGTTTGGTTATGCTAGTTGAATTACCCATTTTAATTGCAACAACAGTATTGGGAACAAACGTTTGGCCATTACATAACTGGCGAACGAATCCTCTTTGTACTCGCTACATATCATCTAGATTACTAATTACATTTATCAAATGAAAACAATATGATATTACTGATAAAGTCACCAAAAGTCACAACTGCAATATAACTCTTACGAATGAAGTTGGTTACATAACATTGACAGTGAGGACGCAACAAGTTATTCGCAAATGAAGAATTTAGTATATACGAATTTATAAAATGGACTCATCGCTTATAACTTACTAAAATATTTACAAATTCGTTATTGTTCATTTTATTTATTACATTCAATTAAATATTAAAATAATTTAGAAGCTGCAACTTCAACTTGCTTTAAGTGTTTGTATTTACTCTTATTACTAATGTACCAACCAAAATAATTGATTTTATAATAAAATCAATATTAACAAATATTAAAAAAAAAATAGCGAAGCCATATAATGAAGTTTATAATGAACATAACTGAATGAGAAAAAAACAAGATAAATATATTAAAGAAATGATTAAAATAAAATCTCGTTTATCCTTTGAACTTAGGCTTTACGAAATAAAACAGATTTGTCGATAGGGTGATAACAAGGATATTTCCACATGTAATAAGATTACAATTTCACTTCTTATCATATTAGTCGATAGCCACGCATGCTAATTACAATTATGATTAAATTAATTAATTAAAACCAAGGTTACGGAATTAAGTAGATATCATGAGAGATTTATACATATTCTAATATGCATGAATTAAGCTAATAAAGTTGAAAAATCATGCTGCTTAAAAACAGGGAATACTAAATACAAGTTTGAATACTCTAATAAGACACCGGCTAATTAAGGACAAATCTTAAAGAACGAAGACAAAACCGAGCAAATAACAAATTGAACTTCAGATAAATATACTAGTCCCCTGTCCCGATTAAGCGGAATCGAATGTGTATAGTCTTTAGTTTACATATACACATGCTAATAAAAATTATAATATTTATGAATTAAGATGATGAAGTTGAAAAATCATGCTGCTTAAAAACAGGGAATACTAATTACAAGTTTGAATACTCTAATAAGACAAATACAGTCGATTCCACTTAATCAGGACACCGGCTAATTAAGGACAAATCTTAAAGAACGAAGACAAAACCGAGCAAATAACAAATTGAACTTCAGACAAATATACTAGTCCCCTGTCCCGGTTAAGCGGAATCGACTGTATATAGTCTTTAGTTTGCATATACACATGCTAATAAAAAGTATGATTACTCTATTTAAAGATGTTTTTATATCAATTTGCGTTAATAGGTAATAGATGTGTTATAATATAAATTTATAATTAATTTTATATTCAAACTTTATTTTTTGTTTATTTTTATTTTTACTGGAATTTTAATAAATATATTTTTCCCATGTTCTGATTTGGCGCTAATCTGTTTTGACTCTGTTCTAATAAATCACATTTAAAAATGTTCACGCAATAGCAAATTACTATAACAAATGTTAAGTATAGCCGCTTATTAGGGACAAATCCAAAAGAACGGAAATAAAACCGAGCAAATAACAAATGGAACTTCGGATAATTGTACAAATATATTAGTCCCGATGTGTATATAAGATTTATGCTAATCTATGCATATTTATTGCGTATGCTTTTACAGTTCACATTATATGACTCTGTCATTAAATCAGACAATGGACCTATTCTGTATGTAATGGACCGGTTCTTTGAAGCTTTTAATAATTATCTTTACCTGATTTGAAGTGCAGCTGACTGTATTTTATTGACTTATTGTCATGCATGTCAATTGGTGGCATAAGTTTAAGAATGGTTTAAAATAGTAGTAATTGGTTTTTAACAATACTATGAGTTGTATAGTCTGCGGTTCCGGAGTGTAGCGGCTCTAAATCAATAATTGCCGGCCGACCGGTCCACATGTTTTTCAACACTGCGTGCGGCTCCTTTAAACAGTTATATAAATTTTGGCTCTTCACACCAAATAGCTTACCTACCTAATAGGCCAGCACAATTTTGATGTATTCCATCAAGTTATTTATTAAATAAGTATGATTTAGCTGATTGACCAGCAAAATGTTATGAATCTTTGTTATTAATTGCTTGATTTGTTGTGTCCCAGAGATGGAATTCTGGACACAGTGGAATATTGTCTGGTGTTGTCGTTGTGGAGTCTCAATTGTAGGAATTAAATAATTCAATTTACATAACTTTATTCGTTACGGCCTTGGTGCTTTTTTTTTATTATAAGACCAGGACAAAATCTTATGCATTTGTTTATATGAAAAATATGATTGATTACGATTGTACGTGTAATGATTATTATGTGCTTATAATAAGGACTTGAATATTTATGATTGAATTAATAATAATTGTCTTTATTTATTATAGCCTGAAGGAACAGCCTAAATTATTAAAATTACCATTTCGTTGTTCTTATTTGAATATTCATTTTTAATGTTATTAATTGTAAAATATTTCTACGTAAGTACTGAAAAGTATACATTTTGTTACACACATAATTAGTTACCTATAATGATTTGTGTGTTAGGTTTATAAAAGTGGACAACATGATACTGGACAAATTATCTGAAATAATGTGCAGTAGAAGAAAAATGTCTGTCTTTCAAATGCAAGAAATTTGCATGTTTGCTTTATTTTAGTTATATAATCGATATTATTTTCATGGTAAACATGGTTTATTTGATAAATATAGTATTGTTTTTAGCATCTAGCTGTATATTGTTACATACTTCCACCAGAATTTGCGTGCAGCATTATTGGTTTATAGCTGAGCATTGTCACGCTTTTCTATTGGCTACGGTAATAATTACACTCCCCATCAGTTCAGTATTTGCGCAATTTTGTTGAGTTGCTACAGCCTACTGAATCGATTGCATAAATTTAGATAAAGGAATGTGATCCTTATAGACTTGTACGTTATATGACCATTGTCATTATACCTGGCAATGGTACTATTCTAAATCCGGTTTTTTGCAACCATTTGTAAATTGTTTTTACCTGGTTTGAAGCACAACTACCTGTCTTTTTATTAGCATATTATTAAGTGTTTCCATTGATATTAGTGGCTACATTGACCATTTTTGTTACCGTTACTTAGCGCATAATAAAACATGTCTTGAATAGTACTTTATTAATATTATTTGTTCTCTATTCAGTGTAAATGGATTCTATATGGTAGTAATCTGTTTCCAACAAAGCTATACTTTATATAAAACCCGTAAAATTTGTTTACTCTATCAGTTTCATCATGATTCACAAATCATTCAGGTTTTCAGGGCCGGCACAAGGGGAGTTCAGCGGATTCCCCGGCTCCCCATTAGTCACAATTGTAACTGAAGGGCTTATTATTTTTAATTAAAGAATACAATTTTGAAAATTATAATATTTTATTTTACATAGTACAAACAGTTAATGTAATTCGTGTTCGAACCTAAGCAATTTTTTTCTAAAGTTATAAAAACTACGAACAGATCTTCGTGCCTTTTGGTGAATTTTTTCAAGGACTCCATAAGATTCACGCATGAGCTGCAATGGGTATTCTGGGTGACCTTCAGTCCATTCAGCTTTGAGGTACAAAAATGTCTTCTTAAAACTAGCAATGTTCATCATCTATAATACAAATATGTCAATTAAATTACTTTATTTTAATCATAATGTGAGACATTTACCAGTCTAAAGTAGTATTCATCCCCTTCACACATCAGAGATGTAAAATTAGTGATTATTTGTAAATTTTCAGGGTGCCAGAAATGCAGCAGCTTCTGTATTCTGTGACGTTTATATTTTAACCAATAGTTTGCTTCCTTTGCTATGACCTGGAGCTCCACCGAATATGTTATATTAACACTCTTCAACTTTCTCATCTTGGTAACATCTACAAATAAAAACACAATTCAAGAACTCACTGTATTTTTTTAATTAAATAAATATATTTCTAAAATATTTGGCGCCTATGGGTTGCTGAGAATAATGCGCCACTCTTCATAAGAAAATGCATTGATGCAAAAGCAATTACATTATTTAAGTGCAAAATAGCAGACCATTGATTATATGGCCGACAAATGGATATTCTGTCCAACTACGTTTTTTTTTTTAACATATAATAAGTAATTGTGAATATTTACTTACACTGCTTGTGCAGCCTCATTTCAAATTCGTCCATAACAAATGTTAATTATCTATAAAACTATTCCTATTTATCAAACAATAGTTTAAGTAAAGTACTTTCCAGGCACCGGTATATTTTAATGACGGCGGCGATGAGAACCACTTTACATCGTTGAACGTATTTTCAACCAATAAGATTCATGTCCGTTGAAATACCAACTTTATATTTGAATTTTCTACTGCAACGGATTTGTTGCAAGTTTTTATGACAATCAATATACAAGAAAACACTTACATATTTCTCCAAACTAAAAGCAAACAAATATTGTGGAAAGTACAAATATTTATCATTATTTATTTTTTTACGATCTGCCTTAATTTTCTTCAGTTGGTATTATTGTGAAATTCCCTCGTTGGTCAAAAAACTTCTATACATTTGATTTCTTCATAAATAAATTTCAATTAGATTCTGCATACAAATTTATGGAATATGTTTTTAACATTAATTAAACATGTATCATTAATATCCTGCTATATTTTCTTCCGATTTTCTTCAAGCAAGAATTTTGAGCTATGAAGTTTGGAGTAATAAAAAAGTTTTAATTAGATGTTATATTTTTCTAATTTATATATTTTAATTAATATTGATATATTAGAGTTTACAGTTAATGTTATTACAATATTGAGGAATTGGATGAATTTAGTTGTAGTATTCTGAACAATGTTTTAAATTTTTAATTAACTTTATTTATTATAGCTCAAATGAACATGATGCTCTTACTTTGTGGAGTGTAGTTTTTTTTAAATGTTATAGTACAGTGGAATCTCGCTTAACGAGTTTAATCCGTTCCAAAATTTTCGGATTTTTACTCGTCTAGTGAAACACGTTTACCCATATAAACCACAGTGGAAACTCGCTTAACTAGCACCTCGTATAACGAGCATTTCGCGTAGCGAGCAAAATGAATTATAAGAAAAATGACTCCCTTA